GAGGTTTCTCAACCCCGATGCAGGCCATATTAAAGTAATTGTCCGAAGTTCTTCACACAACAATCCACTGCTCGTCTTCAAAATCAACCCACCAGATCTTTTGGGGGGGAATTTAACAAGCACGGTATGAAAGTGTCTGTCTTCACTCGCTCTTCACCTCTGATTCGCAAGCATAGTGCTCTTGTGTGTGGAGGTTCCACTGAAGTATAATGACGGATACCCTGTTTCCCTGAAAATAAGCCCTAGTAGGATTTTGAAGAATGCTTGTTAATATAAGCCCTACTCCAAAAATAAGCCCCAGTTAAGTGAAAGCCTGCCCTCCACCCTTGTGCAGCAACCAGAAGATGATGACAGGACTACGTTTGAATAAATTTAGATGGTGGTATATGAAAACGAAACAAAACATTCCCTGAAAATATGCCTTTTTAAGAGCAAAAATTAATATAAGACAGTGTCTTATTTTTGGGGAAACATGGTAGACATTGGAAGATTGATCCTTCCTGAAATTGCCTAATTGATTTTTAATTTTTTTAAAAAAAATCCTTTTGTCAGCCCAGATCAGTTTAATGCAAAGAGAGTTCAACTGCATTAACACAATTAATTGTATTAATTAATCAATTGCATTTAAAAAAACCCACGCTAGAAAAAGATTAATCCCATTTAATTGCAAGCCAGGAAGAGCTGCCTCGCGCTGCAGCACTCTGCAAAGAAAGTCATTTGTTCGAAGCAGATCCAAAACTCTGCTCACTGTCACCCTTCCAGCTTCGCTTCCATTCTGCTGTCTGGAGCCTTGGCGCTCAAGACACACGGGATATGATGCAAAATTCCCTGAAATCCAACTTGGTTATATAATGGGACGGAACCTCTATCTTCCAGCAAAGCTGTCTCTGAGTCCCATTACACTTTCCAAATCTGCTGGTTCTCCCCCACTCACCCCCCCTGTCCAAGACAAAAGGTCTATTAATTCCTTGTTCTTAAAAGCAGGAAAGGCATGGAGGACCAGCTGGCCAGCCACACCCTCTCGCAACACACCCCATTCTATCCTCCCTTTCACTCATTTCCATCTCTCTCCCCGCTGTGAATTAGTATCCTATGCCTACCCTGGCATGTGCTTCTGTTTGTGGTGGGGTCGCTTCTTTAGTCTCCGTCCTTAGGTAGGCAGTGGAGGGATTTTATGACCCCGTGGCTTCCAGTCTGCTTGGAAAGCTCAGTGGTTTAGACATCTGGTTGGGAGTTCAATTCTCCCATGGTGCCTCCTTGACTTGATGATCCAGAGGGTCCTTTCCCTTTCTGCCGTGCCAGGGTGATGGGGAGTCTTACACAGGATGAATGCTCTAAGCAGCTGTCTCATCAGCTTAATTTAACTATTTGAAACTGTAGAAGCACACACACTTATTCATTAATGAATACCCCTTCCATTAAAGAAACAACAGCACCCAAACCTATCATGAAGAAAGTTAAAAGTAGGATCCTTTTCACTTGTCTGCTAGATTTCTGCAGGCAGAACGTTTTTCTTTTAAGGCACAGAAGAGTTTCCCTTTCTTTGAGTCACCTACTACAGGCCAGACATGGGTTGAAAATGAGGCTAGGGTTTTCATTTAATTCACAATCAATTAGGAACAGTCTTATACTTCCTCGGATTGTGAGCCTATACTGTACTGTCAACACCAAATGGCAGAGGTTTTCCAAGATGTCAAGCGGCAGTTTTTCCTATCCTTACCTGGAGGCAACTACATATAAAGCACAAGTCCTGCCAAGGAGCTGACATCTCATAGGTTCTCTTGCCAGTTACAGTTTGCCATCAAATAGTTTAATTAAAAAAAATCAGACAGAGCGCCTGTTGCTTTGTGTGTTGTTTTTTTTAAATGCATGGAAATGAATTTCTTCATCCTGAAATGAAGTTCGGCTCATGTGATGCGGATCAGATGGTCGAGGTAGTTTGCAGAAAAGTTTGGCAAGTGTTTCCAAAACACAGAAACTCGAGCAATGTTTAACAGGGAGGGGTCAGGAGGGCAACTGCACGCCAGGCCAAGAACTGCCAGTGTACCAAAAACACCCGGAGGGCTCCTCGTGAGTGAAGGGTGACTTATCAATAATAAATGTGTGCTGGCCAGCCGATTCTGACTTAGGGCGACCCTTTCCAGGGTTTCTCGGTAGAGAATACACAGAAGTGGCTTTCCCCTGCCCTTCTTCTTTGGGCATCTCGAGACCGTGCAGCTTGCCCAAGGCCACCCAGGCTGGCTCTACCTGCAGGAGGTACAGTGAAGAGTGGAACGCACAACCTCTTGCTCAACTTAGACCACTGAGCTATCAAATCAGCATCGCCTAATGAGTCAGATGTCCTCCAGATTACCTCCGGCAGCAGAGGTGGAGATATGGATAATACAAATGTGTGCGTGTTAAGTTTTTGTAAATTTTGGGAACATAACATCTCCGCACTTCTACCAGGCATTGATGGAAGCAGAAGCCTCGGTCTCAAGCACGACATTGATGGAACAATTGCCGTGCATCAGAAAGAGGCTTGGGCAGCCCCTGATGATTTTTGTTTGCTGGACAGCGCATCCTTCTCCCACAACTGGAATTCAAGGCAGGGCACAACAACGTGGGCTCTTAAAAGGTGTAAATAAAGGGAGACTATAAAGAAAGCTGACTGCTGAAGAATTGATGCTTTTCAATTGTGGTGGAGGAGATTCTGGAGAGTCCCCTAGACTGCAAGGAGAACAAACCTATCGATTTTGAAGGAAATCAACCCTGAGTGCTCACTGGAAGGACAGATCCTGAAGCTGAGGCTCCAATACTTTGGCCATCTCATGAGAAGACTCCCTGGAAAAGACCCTGAGGTTGGGAAACCGTAAAGGTGAGAGGGGAAGGGATGACAGAGGACGAGACGGTTGGACAGGGTCATCGAAGCGACCAACATGAATTTGACCAAACTCCGGGAGGCAGTGGAAGACAGGAGGGCCTGGCGTGCTCTGGTCCATGGGTCACAAAGAATCAGAGACAACAACTAAACAACAACAATAAATAAGAGTCAGACACAACAACTAAACAACAATCAACACATTTCTCAGCAGTCAGCCAGATGCCATTGGACACATAAAGAAGGAGAGGAAAGAGCAAATGAGAAAGACAAAGAGTAAAAGCCTCTTTAGCCTGCCTTGTAAGGCATTCTCCATCTGGGAGTGTTCACTCACAAAACCCAAAATTGCCACTCGGCTCTGCCTGGTTATTTGCTGTCTGCTGGAATCTTGCCCTCTTAAATCAGATTCCTTCTTTGGAGCCTAACCTTTGCCAACCTTTCTTGGCTGAAACAAGACTGAAGGTAGGAAGAGAGATCGCCTGCTCTCAAAATAAAATTACATGTACAAAAACCAGCTAGACTGGCATCTGAATTTCACTCTGATGGCAAGCCAGCTTTGGCTGCGTGGCACACAGATCTGTTCCCCAACATCTTTCTGCTCCGCGGCGCCTGAGCCTGAATTAGCCACTTCTCTGTCTGCCTCTTGATAGGGCCTGCTCTGAAGGGATTTGAGAGTCCTCCTCTATTTTTCTCTCTTTTTTTATTGGCACCCTTTCATTTGATGAGGACGGGAAGGGCTTGAATTAGGAAATCAGAATCTATTTCTGAATAGCATGGTGACCATAAGGCATTCTGCCATCTCTGGGAAATGTGTCCATGGCTCTGTTTTACTTCAAAACTGAATGGCACACTGCCACTACTTTGCAATTAGAGAGAATAACGATGAACGCATGTTTATGATTTTCTCCCCTTCGGCTCTAGTGCTCGAACACAATTTGGAGCTGACAAGAGTGCAAAATATTTTGCAGGAAACAGGGAGGGCTTCATGAACATTATTGTTGCTCTGTTGCACCTCTGGATCCACTGACCTTGCTACCCTTTGGTAAAATGCTGGCATGCAATTGCTGTTGAGGGATCACAGTACAGTCGGTGGTGGGGGCAGAATCACAGACGTGGTGGATCCCAACAGGTCTTGCGAGGACCAGCGATGGAAAGGACAACACGGTGCAGGGGGTGAAAGAACTGCACTGGGTTTGGAAACCCTATGTCACGTGGCCCGTCCGAGCCACGAAACGGATTCGGTGAACCAGAGCTTCTCTCCTCTGCCGCCACCAATGTTACTGTGAGGATAAAAGCAGGGGGGAAGCAAGCCAGGGGCACCACCTTTAAGCTTACGACAAGGCTGCACGGAGTGACCCAGATGCAACCAATACACACAACACCCCGGTTCTTGGCGGAGAGACTTCGTCCCGGGCGTCAAAGTTGGAACAAAGGAATCGGGAGAAAAAGAGAGTTCATCTTCTTGACCCTCTGAGAAATTTCAGAAGTGCATCTGCACATATTCAAAAGGGCAGTGTAATTTCAACGGTAGTCAGACGGCGATATTCTTTTTAAAAGGAAAGAAGAGGACGGCCACAATTTCCAGGGAAAGCCAACCTCCCCTCAGATTATAATTATTTTCTTAACAGGCAAAGGCAGGAGCCGATGTGGCTTTTGAGGCAGCGACGAGGGTGGCTGGATGAGGCAGGCATTCCTAGTGTAACCTTCTACATTTGTGTCCAATAAGGTTGGGGTTTTTTTCACACCTTTTACCTCTATGGTTTAATTATTATTTGTTTTTACTAGTTTACATCAAACCCTAACAATTCTTACAAGATTAAAAAAGAAGTTGGGGCTGGTCTGGAAATCTTCCTTTGGACGCGACTACCCCTACCAGCCTTTTAAAACCATACATATGGTGGAAAAAAACCACACACACCCTTTTCTACGCCGAAGGTAGCAGAACCGCAGTGGAAAAATCAAGCTGAGCAAGTAGGAGCATTTGTCTCTGTCACAATTATTTCCAGCTACTCTCGCTTTTTCCTGGACGACAGAGACGCCTCACGGCTCCTTCCAGACTTCCGGCACCCTAAGCCGTTCTGGATGGCCTTTTTTTTTTCCCTGGGGCCAGATGTTCCAGAGCGTCTCCACTTCATCTCACTGGAACTTGTTCTCTTGGGCAAACAATTCATCAGTCATCTTGTACGCTTGGATCGGCAGCGGGCAGTGGCCCGGAGTGGCGGTTTCACAATCCCAAAAGCCATGCTGCCCTCATGAGGGCTTAACGAAACAAGGCAGGAAGGAGAGTCTTGTTTCTCTTTCCAAACAGCTGGCTGGTTTCATTTACTCGCCAGCGAGGACGACAGAGGTGGAAAAAAATTCTCTACATCGTCGCCATCTTGGTGTGTTTCTCCAAACTTCACCGGCACTTACTTCCGATCCTCAGCTTGTATGGAACTGCAAAAGCTTTTTTCTTCAGCACTGAAGTTTGTGAGCCTTTCTATGCATTATCCCTCACGCTTGCATTTGTTTATGACCTTTTACATAATATGCCTTTTCCCTCCACGACTAAATCAATTTTTCCCTTCCGTGCACACATTTCAGCCTTTTGCATTGTCATGTGTGTGTACAGTTTTGAGTGCCCGTTATTTCTCTGAAACAGTCTGTAAGGCTTGCAACCGCTTGAGGCAACGTATCATTTATCCTTGTTCTGGCTTTTAAGAGGTGCAAAAAGCTGCTTTTCCTCAGATTGTCATATTCAATTCAGTTCTTTTCCATCCCAACCACTGACTGGGATCCGTTACCGGGGCGGGGGCTGGCTGTGCATTCTTTTACATAATACTTTATTCTGGTAACTTACGCCTTTGTAAGCATTTCAAACCAAATGACAGGGTGTTTCCTTGAGTGTCTGGGGAGGCTTCTGTCTCCTTTTAAGTTCCCCCCCACTTCATAAAGTTATTTCTATATTTCTGCAAACCATCGGATTTTCCCAAGCCTGCTGCTACCTTTTACAACCAGCATAGATCACACCTTTTGCTACATAAGACAGAGAACTTTGTCAATCGTTCCTAGAAACCAATCTGTTGCTCACAGATCCTTTTAAAAGGGCAAATGGTTATCACGGCTTATAAATACTGTTGTGAAAAGCAGCACTTAGTAACACCTAAGCTATGCTTTTCTTTTTGCTACTTTTTAATTAAAAAAAACAGAACAAAACACCAACACTCGTTGAAAACATAAAACCCCAAAGTGTTTCTTAAGAATACACCAAAAAAAACCCCACTTAGGGGTTTTGTACACTTTACCCACTGTACTAAAAAGTGACAAATTTAATAACCACAACTTTGTTTTTTTTAAAAAAGTTCTCTGGAAACACCGTTAGCAAAGAAGCAATATGTTATAAGTTAAAGTACTGTTCCTTTGCACATTCCTTCTAAGATCTAATAAGGCTCCACCAGGTTGCCTCTTGACCACTACGTCCAACTGAACCGAGGCTCAGAGGAAGGACCAGGTGTTCTGGGCCACTGGCGATGGTTCGGAAATGTTCCCAGAAGCATGTGCACCATGGAATCCTCTCCGTAGGCACAAAAATGAGAATAACCATTTCACAAAGGCTCCAGAGACTGACCTGTTCCAACCTGATGCCTCCCAGAAGTTGTAGACTACAATTCCCAACATCCTAGACCATTAGCCATATCAGGCTGGAGAGCTAAGGGGCCCCGGTTGGCCTAAACCACAGACGTGAAATGGTAGATGAGATCTTTTTTTTTCTGAATGAACAAACCCTTCAGATCCTGGAAAATAATATTTACCCTTGCAGGCCTATTCTAATGCAACCTTATTGGTTGCCTTTTTTAAAAAACGGATGCTGCAACATAAACTTCCTTCCCTGCTTTCATCATTTTTTCAGCAGAGGAATCGACTCCTGCAGGTTGGCTCCATAATGCCGCCAGAGTTGAAGCTGGCAGCCTCTGCTGTCTGAGATCGCAGCTGCCGGTAAACGCGCTTGGAGCGGGGCTGTGGAGGATGGCTAGGGCTGCCCCCCCATGCGGCCCAAACCAAATGTATGTGTGGCCCAAACCAAATTTTCATCTTCTAATGTGGCCCAGGGAAGGTGAAAGGTTGGACACCCCTGTCCTAGATCATTAGCCATACCAGGCTAGACCACAGACGTGAAATGGTAGATGAGATTTTTTTTCTGAATGAACAAACCCTTCAGCTCCTGGAAAATAATTTTTACCCTTGCAGGCCTATTCTAATGCAACCTTATTGGTTGCCTTTTTTAAAAAAATGGATGCTGCAACATAAACTTTCTTCCCTGCTTTCATCATTTTTTTCACCAGAGGAATCGACTCCTGCAGATTGGCCGGGAAGAGAAACAAGGAAAAGAATGGTTTCTCCAACACCACCCACCACCATTTTGTACAGATAAATGGATGTCCAGTTTTCACGTCTGTTGTACACGCACGAGCCTGGTTCAGCTTCCAAGGGAACGGAACTTACTACTTGCTTTTTAAAAGAAAAATTAAATAGATTTACTCTAAGCACCCCTCCAAACCCACTCTGGAGATTTACAAAACTCACCAATACATGTTTTCCATGCCAGAGGGGGCCTCGGGGGGGGGGAGGAGATAAGGCCACTGCCCTCCACGACCTTACTATGGCCACTTCACAAAGTTGTCTAGCAAATGTGAATGTTATTGAATTATACGAATATTTTATTAACAATGGCCTGCAAGGGGGGTGAGTGGGAACACTCTGTCCAGAACAAACAAGCCACAGACAAATAATGTAACTCGCTTCACCGTACAGTTCTATACATCTTTCCTCAGATGCCAAGTTCAATTGGACTCTCTCCATGCCCAGTCTGTATAGGGCTGTAAGCCTTAAGACCTGTTTATTAAGCTAGAATATAGAGATTTTTTTGTATAGAAAATAGGCACAGAAACAGCTGTGTTGTGAATGTTATTTACAATTTTTGTGCTGCCGCGCAAAGCAAATGAAAACAACAGAGAATATGGCAAGAACTGTCCCCAACGGGCAGTCTGTAGCTTCAGTGGCCCTCGCTGGTGTGGCTCACCATTGACAAGGACCACGTCATTGAATGCTGCTTGTTACAGGGTCATCCGCAGATTTCATTTGTGTCCAGTCCTACAAACCTGAGAGGGCTGAGCCCCCACACTTAAGTTCAAATATCAGAAGAGACTAGAGTCTCAAGGTTTCCCAAAGGGAGGAGTAAATGGGGAAGCCAGGACAGGAGATCCAACATTTCAAGCATCTTGCGAACTTCATATCTTAATGGCATCCTTTAGCTGTACTAACTTGGCTTCCCTTTGCTGGATGTTGGTTGGTTGCCCTACCAGTAGAAAAACATCACTCTGGCAGCTGAAATGCTCAGATCATTTGGCGTGTGAAAAAGAAAAAGCACTGCTTTTCCAAACATGCTTTCCCCCCTTGCAGAGCATAAATGAATTTTAGAGGAAGGTTCAAGCCTGAATGCTTTTGCAAAGTTAAGTTTGCTCCTTTTCTATTACTCGGGGTAAAAAAAAATGGAGGGAATACTAGGCTGGCCATGCTTGAGTTTCAAAAAGACTGAAAAATCAATCAAGAGAAAAAAACTATCAGTAACTCTGCTCCCAATTCCTGTCAACTTCCATCATTTCTTTCCTGCTTTCAAGTTCTTATTAACAGCATTAATTCAAGTCTACAAAAAACTTGCAGTTTACAAATGTGGGAGATGGTGCTTTTATATCCACAATTCAAAATGCCAAGAAATGGCTCAGTAATTACTGCACAATATAGGGCCTCCGTTGGCAGCAGGAAAAAAGATGCCAAGCTTTCCATAGTAAAGGGCAGCCTGGATGTTGGCAACACGGATGGCAGCAGTCTAGATGATCTATGCAGAATACCCTCTTGTGCTCATCATCATTCACAAAGTGACACCACGCAAGGGAAAATCCCAGAAACTGCCTCCTTTTTTTAAAATCAGTGTAACCATAACAAATGTCTCCCTTTTTGGCCCAGGAAGCTACAACACTGTGTCTACATTGGAATGCTCTTGTGGGTAAGCTTGTTCCACACATGCTCAGCTTATAACAAAGTCACTGTTTTTACTATTTTGAAAGCCTTTTTTAAAGATCAAGATTTCAGCCTCTGCAACCTAGATTCCTTCCAAAATAAAATAAAGGTGTGTGTGTGGGGGTAACCTTTCTCTTTCAAGATAAGCAACATTGGTCTTTTCAATTTATTTAGTCTGTTATAAACCTGGGGCTGTTTAGGGTTGTTTGTTTCTGCAAGGGGGGGGGGAGTTTTATGTTTTAAAAATTGTAACTAAAAAACACTTTGCCCAAATGTCATCAAATTCAACACAGTGCAACAGCATGCGGTCTGCTGTATCAGTGCCAGATTTGGTAGTGATCCAATGTCTTATTTCAAGGTTACAATTTCTGCTTGGGCTGCCTCCCTTTCTAGAAGTGCCTTGTAGAATGTTGATTTGCTCTGCTGAGCAATAACATCGCTGCACGAGAGATAATAGGGTTCATTCCACACACCTTTGAGACTACCGTGGTGTTCATGTAACCTCTCCACTTCCTTCTCCTTGAATCCCTGTGTCAAGCAACCCACAGACTTCCACAGCTGTGGGGTTCAGTTAATGCCTGCCAGTGCCCCAGGAAGACACCAGCAGAACTAGCCTCATCCACCTGATGAAGGGCCTCTGCGTCCTGGTCTCCATGAGCAAGTCCCACCACCTTCTCCAGACAAGGGGTTGTAACCTGGGAAAAGAGGGAAGAACTTGACCATCGGGCAAAACAGGGGAGATGCAGCACAAGGCATGAAAGAAAGTCAGAGCTGTTCAGAACTAGTAGTGGCAAAAAAAGGAAGTGTCTATATTGTCTAGATGGAACCTGAGGAAAAACGTGCATCAATCAACAAGGGATTCCTCTAGCAATTTTATGCACGCAGGTGCACGTAGACAGGTTTCAAACTGCAAGGTTCCCGCTATAACTTTCTTCCTGCAGCAACTTGTTCCCAAAACCCATCAGAGAGAGCAACCACCCTATTGTCCTTCACATGTGCCCCGTCTCTGGTTTATCCATGTCCTTCCTACAAACAAAGTTATGCTCGCAGGGCATCGATCTTGCCCCAAATAAGCAAACAATGCACCCTGAAGCCTGCTTCTTCAGCAGAGACCACTTGATGGGGAAGCGACATGAATGGTAGCCGTCCAGAGAACACCATGCAAAAAGCTATAAACAATCTGAAAACCCATTTAGTAGAGCATTTACCTCCGTCTCGTAAAGGTCTTCTTCTGGATTTCGGTTTCGATTCAGCAGTCGATGCTGAGGCTCCAGGTTCAGGCTCCTGACATGCAGAAAAGAGTGACTTAATCCCTGGTTCGTCCTCTAATTTGAAAGATGTCTTTGCTCCCTCCACCATCAAATACTAACCTGGTTCTGCCTGAACGTTGTCTTGTAACTCTTGCCTTCCTGCATGCTTTCCCACATGGCTATCTTTTGTCTTCTCTTCTCCTCTTCAAGCTAAGAAGGGAAACACAGGTTTGGGCATTTCAGAATTCGGTTGTGAAGTTTATGCCAGGCCTGCACAAGTTGGATGACCCCAAGAAAACTGGACCCCGGACACCAGAGGGCTTGGCCAGCTTCCTTTTCTTAAATTAATTTTTATTAAACAAACATTCAACTGAAACAACATAAACCTAACACCACAATAAAATAGAATGACGTAATACACCAGTGCCACCTTCACCCTCAGGCTAGCATTAATAATATTTTTAAAATTCATTCATTCAATCCATTTTCTATTCAAAACGACATTGTTTCTTCCCTCAGTGTATCCCCCCTTCCCTTTCTGAAATACATATTGCAAGAATACACTCCCTATTTTCTTAAAATCATTATTTTTTGATAGGCCTTATTGTCCTATCACATGCCATTTTATCATTCATTGCCATGTCCCATAGTTCTCTATACCATTCCTCTAAATTAAGCTGGTTATCATTTTTCCCGTTTCTTGCAAAAATTAACTTTGCTGGTGCAACCATAATTACAATTAAATCCTCATTTTCTTTCAACAATTGATCTTTCTTAACCTTGTTCAATAAAGCCATTGACAGGGACATTTGAATATTTAATCCAGTTATTTCCCTGATTTCTTTACAGATTTGCTTCCATTCTTTCTTTCTTACTTCACATAATCACCACATATGTAAATACGTCTGGGGCTTGGCCAGCTTCCAGTGTGAGCCTGGGAGTCTAGCTGAAACAGATGGGCTTTGGAACCTAATAGGCTGTGATACAGATATCCCCTCTGTGGCTCTACTCATAGGAGGCCCAGTGGGGAATCAGACTCCCAACCTCTGTCTCCGCAGCCAGGTAACTCAAGCATTGAGCTACCCATCCAGTTTATGAATTGCAGTAAGGAAGTACTTATAAGTTGTTGTTTAGTTGTTAAGTCGTGTCCGGCTCTTCGTGACCCCATGGACCAGAGCATGTCAGGTCCTCTTGTCTTCCACTGCCTCCTGGAGTTGGGTCAAAGTCATGTTGGTCGCTTCAATGACACTGCCCAACCATCTCATCCTCTGTTGTCCCCTTCTCCTCTTGCCTTCACACTTTCCCAACATCAGGGTCTTTTCCAGGGAGTCGTCTCTTCTCATGAGATGGCCAAAGGATTGGAGCCTCAGCTTCAGGATCTGTCCCTCCAGTGAGCACTCAGGGTTGATTTCTTTCAGAATGGATAGGTTTGTTCTCTTTGCAGTCCAGGGGACTCTCAAGAGCCTCCTCCAGCACCACAATTCGAAGTACTTATAAATACTTACTGCTTTTTTCCAGATACAGAGCAACAGTCGGCTTTACATATTTTCTCAACTCACAGGTCTACGGATAAGATGGGAAAAATGTAAAAACTGGCCGCTTGCTGATAATAACTCTTTTGATAAAAGGCTGAGATGTTACCTTTCTCTGTTTTTCTTTGAATTTTTCTGCTTGTGCATCCAACTCATCTTGCATTCTCTTACGGGCCGCCAGCAGAGCTTCTTGCTGTCTAACCACAACATCAGGATCTAGACAGTAGATCAACAAGAGGTCAACAAGAGCTACTGTATCCCAAGAAACTGAAATGCTCTTGCACTATCCATACGGGGTGCAATTTGCTCCCCTTATAACTTTATCCTCAACTTAATCTAGTCTGCCAGCAGTGCTCTGCGTTTATAGCTTATTGCTTTCGTTTAGCTGCATAGTTTGTCTGAATAATCCCAAATGATCATTCCAGCACAGGAAGGGATAATTCATTAACTCAAAAGCCGCTGCTAGCCTGTGCATATTCTACTCTGATCCAGAAAACAGTCTGCCAAAGCTGAGTGGTAGTCCCAACTTTGAGCAGGCCCAATGAAAATAATGGGGGTTGCTCAACAAGGTCCATTCACCTAGCTCCAATTAAGCACAGCAAATGGATTTGGTTCAGTGACATTCTCCTTACTAATGGAGACCTCTGGGACCTTCTCCTTGCAGCAGCCTGACATGGGGATGATGCTAAAATTTAACCATGACTGACAGGGATGGGGATTCACCAGAGATCTGTATGATGTGGGACAAGAGGCAGCACCAAAATATCTGCAGGATCCCAGCTGCAGAACCATACACAGAGAGACAACATTTGTGGGGTTCTTTAGAACAATGATCCCCAACCTGGGATAACCCAGGAGTTCATGGACTACAACCTCCAGAAACCACAACCAGAACAGCAGGTGGTGACGGCTCGTGGAAGTTGCAATCCAAGATCTCCTTCAACCCAATCTCTCCTTCAATTAGCTCAAGGCAGCCTTTAATCATCTCCATCATTAGTGAATTTCTATGACATTTAACACTTTCTCTGCAACCTACAATTTCGCACTTTCTCGGCAACCCACAAGCAAATTGAAACTTTTTTAATAATCTCGTCTTTCTCACCAGGTTACTCATAAACAGCTCCAAACTCATAAGTTCAAACACAGGCTGCAGGGAAAAATATGACATGTCAGAGAAATCCTCCACCTAAGCATCATCATCTTAGAACTGCTCATTGAGTTCAGCCCTGGTCAAGGAGGCACACTTATTTGTTATATTTAAATCAGCCCTCTCCTCCAATTAGCTCAAGGCAGTTATGATGTACTATAGACATAGCCTATGTGTATAAATACATATCAACTCCTATTGTTAGCAAAGCCAATTTAAATAAACATGAGTAGAACTTTGCATACGGATCTACTCAGGTGCCTTGTGTCACATACATAGAAAAGAAAAATATCACTCTCAGTGAAAATATATTAAAAGATATCAATCCAGCCTCATACGAACCAACGGCTGTTGCATCCAAGCGAGGCACTCTGGTGCTTCGGAATCTTTTGGCAAGTTTTTGTGCAAGTAGATAAACAGCAATCAGGGTGAAGAGAATATACCAGCCATAGTCTGCAAGCAGCGAGCCCACTAAGAAAAAACAAAAAACACAGACATAAGAATTTGCTGCACATATTGGGCAGAGAGAGAAACCCAGTGTGGTGTAGTGGCAGATCTGGACAGACCCAGGTTTGAATCCCCAGTCGGCCATTGAAGCTCACTGGAGGAGCAAAACTGACAAAAACCACTCATTAAAAATCTCGCTTCCCTTGAAAACCCTCTTAGGGTTTGCTACAAGTCAGCTCCAACTCGATGGGACCTAATTAACTAACTGGGCACAGAACAGAGTGGGAGAACTAGGGACACTGAAGGCCCAGGTTTGAATTCCTGCTTGGCCATGGAAGGAAACCCATCGGGGTGGGGTGGCATTGCCCAAATGCACATATACACATGCAATAGGAAACGGTGGCCCACTTTATCAACGACACTGCCCAAGCTGGCAAATTATTCATTGACACACCTTTTGAGGAGCTGCCAAAATACAAAGTGATTCTCATGTGCATTTGGCACGACCGTCATCACCGCCCCCGTCAAGGCTTTGCATTTTCCCTTCCTGGAGGGGGGGGGGAAACGACACTCCAAAGCCACCCACCCATAAAGCACACCTGTTTGCTTCCTGACTTTCCACCTCTCCTCTGAGCCCAAGACTTCCCGATGTGGCTCCCCGCCCCTCCGCCCACAAGATCCTCACAACCACCCTTGCGGGGTAGGTCGCTCAGGTGGAAAGAGAGGAAGAGAAAGCAACCCCGTCAAGGGCAACCTGGCCAGTTTCACAGTCCAGTGGAGATCCCTCAAGTCCCAGGCCTGGGAGCAATCCTGACACCACACCCACTCTGATGAACAATACCACTGATGTATAGCCTGCTTGCTTGCTTATTTGCTTATCTATCTATCTATCTATCTATCTATCTATCTATCTATCTATCTATCTGTCTGTCTGTCTGTCTGTCTATTGCAATTATAACCCAGTCCATTATTTATTTATTATTTATAGCCTAGTCCAGCCCCTATCAATCTCTACATCACCACCCACTCTAATGAACAACACTACTGATTTATAGCTTGATTACCTACCCACCTATAGCCCAATTCATCATTTATTTATCTATTTATAGCCCATTCCAGCCTCCCTATTAATCGCTAGATAACACCAACCCTAAGGAATATTTATTTACAGCCCACCCGTTTATGCCTCTGCAGCATTTGCAAGCCCCCCCCAGTCCAAGCCCCCTATTCATCTCTACATCCCCACCCACTCTAATGAACAACACTCCTGATTTATAGCCTGTTTGTTTGCTTATTGGCTTTATCTGTCTATCTCCCTATCTATCTATCGCAATTATAGCCCAGTCCAAGCCCCTATTAATCTCTACACGCCATACTGACGCTAATTAATCATGTACTGTTTATTTCTAGCCCAATTATTTATTTATTTATATATTTATTTGACCATATTAATTTATATATTTATAATTTCATATATTTGTATATAAATATTTAATATTCGTGCCTTCCTTCCCAGCCCGGGAGAGGGGGCGGACAAAACAAGGGTCCCTTTTGGGGGGAGGGAGCCCCAAGCCTCGCCCCACTACAAGGTCGCCACCCCCCCCTTCTCCTCACCGGCGTGAAGGACGAAGCCGGCCTCCGGGGGGCTCCCCTCCAGCCCCGCGCCCGCCGCCATCTTGCCGCAAATGACCAGGAAAACAGCCCCCGCACACGGCTCCTTTCCCGGACCGGACCTACATCCGGGTCCTCCCCACTCCTGGCTCCTCAGCCAATCAGGAAGGCGCACCTCTCTACTCCTTCTCGCCGCCCACGGAGGAGAGCGGGGCAGGGCGGGCCAATGGGGAGGAGGGGCGGGGGAAACAGAACGGCCCGCGACCAATCAAGAGTCACGGGCAGGGGGGGAGCCAATCGGAGGCTGGGATGGTAGGGATGACTTGGCTGAATGAACGGAGGAGGGGGAGCGGTCTGCGGGCTTTACGAGGGCGGGGTGAAGAGGGAGCGAGGTGGTTCGCCCCCTAGTGGCCCATCAGGGTGGGTACCGCTGGGCAGTGGATGGTGCAGGAAAAAAAAAAGAGGTTCCAAATATTTTAGCCAGATTCTTTTCTGTATGCGTGAAAACTGAGTTTCAAAATCAGGATTGCAGACTTTTGCAGGACTCTGCTGATGTGCTTCCCCCAATACTGTTGGCTGGGCAGTGGATGGTGCAGGAAAAAAAAGAGGTTCCAAATATCTTAGCCAGATTCTTTTCTGTGTGCGTGAAAATTGAGCTTCAAAATCAGGATTGTAGACTTTTGCAGGACCCTGCTGATGTGCTTCCCCCAATACTGTTGGACAAAAGGTGCCCATCGTTCAGATCCTGCATCCCACCCCCCATGTACTGTTGAAAACATTTATTTATTCAATTTTTATCTGGCCCTTCTAGACTATGTCTACTTAAACTGTTTGTAGACCTGCCATAGACTTGGATCTTTCCACCTGTTAAAATTCAGGGAAACCACCTTTTCTTTTGGTCATCCGTTGAATGCCGTTTGTCACAAAATTTAAGATTTTATTTTTGCTGACTGGAACCACAATTCTATTGTTGGGGAAGATCTTACTGAACTCAAAGGGCCTTGGAGTGTGTGTGGGGGGTCATAACATTTGCCTTTGGATTCCACCAGGAGCACTTTCTGATTTTGTTTCAGGAAGGATCAGAGCCCACAAGTGGACGACACTGGCCATTTCCCATTCCAAAATTCATCTAAGGCCTCAACAGAATTGCTTGCGAAGGTGCAAGGAAACATGCCATGAACCAGCAGGAAAACCATAAGCCTCATGGTCATCATAATCAGCCTTTGACTCCTGCAGAGGTTCTGAGTTCCAGTCAGTCTAAGTCCACCAGCTAGTGATTAATCAATCACAACAGAACTACACAGAGTTCCTCCACACCCAGAACACAATCACTCATTCGGCAAAGAAGATCAGTACCAGAGTGTGCCCAGCAGGCTTGAATGGGGACAGATATCACGTCACCCATGGACAACAATCCTATGATAGCAGGTAGTTGTAGGCCAACAATACCACTCATCCACCACCTTTAATTGTAACTGATAAAGGTAAAGGTTCCCCTTGACCATTTTTGTCCAGTCGTGTTCGACTCTAGGGGGCGGTGCTCATCCCTGTTTCCAAGCCATAGAGCCAGCGTTTTGTCCGAAGACAATCTTCCGTGGTCACATGGCCAGTGCGACTTAGACACGGAACGCTGTTACCTTCCCACCGAAGTGGTCCCTATTTATCTACTTGCATTAGCATGCTTTCGAACCGCTAGGTTGGTGGGAGCTGGGACAAACTTACGGGAGCTCACTCCGTCGCATGGATTCGATCTTACGACTGCTGGTCTTCTGACACTGCAGCACAGGCTTCTGCGGTTTAGCCCGCAGCGCCACCACGTCCCTAATTATAACTGATACTGCAGTTCAGTTTCTGGAGAGTGACAAGCTGCCCCATTTTAAACTTTTCCACACTGCCACTCAAGTTTTAACGCTGGATAACACATAGGAAGATGGGGTAGAACAGCGTCACAAATAAAGTTGTGCTAGCATTTAAATGATACAGAACAACATTATGCATTAAAAAAAACCAACACGTTTATTTTACTTGAAAATGTACAGTATAAAATTTACAAACTGCTGCTCACATTTCTCAAGAGTGCTTCCAAACAAAAACAAAACAAAATCTTCTCAGCAATAAACCAAAACATTTTGACAAATGGACGATAGTACAATAGCATCATGTGGGCTATCCCGACATGGAAAGCCCTTTTACGATCCATTGGCAACGGTGTCTTCCTCCATCTCTTCTTCTGCCTCATCTGAAGGGCCTAAGGCACAGAGAGCAGCACAGAGAGCAGCGTTAAGAGGACTACCCGTGAACCACAAAAAGTCATTATCTTACAGAGGAAGTAATTATACAGGGCTGGTCTTCATTCAGTCATCTCAAAAGGAAAAGTGTCTACGCTTGCACTGCGGCAAGAATCAGTAGGATTCCTTGCTATGGCAAGTAGAATTCTGAGCCAGTGATTTCAATTCTCCTTATAGATTTTGCCCTCAAGGTGCTTCTTTTTGAAACTCTGCCTCCAGACCAAGCCTCTCAGAGTCTTAGATGACTGGATGTAAAGAGCCTAAAGAAAAATGTGTTCTGGAGCAGAAAAAAGATGAGGCCTATAATATATTCTTGCAAAATGTACACTATTATTGATAGCAATACGGGAGGAGAAATATACCGTATTTTTCGCTCCATAAGACGCACCTTTCCATAAGACGCACCATTTTTTTGGAGAAAAATGTGTTCTGGAGCAGAAAAAAGATAAGGCCTATAATATATTCTTGCAAAATATACACTATTATTGATAGCAATACGGGAGGAGGAATATATATATATTTACTCTACAAAGTTTTGAAGTACTATGTGGTTCAAAACAATGAATTTCTCGTTATGGTGCAAAAAATACGGTATATATATTCACTCTACAAAGTTTTGAAGGACTATGTGGTTCAAAACAATGAATTTCTCATAACAGAAGAAATAGCTCCCACCAGTTTCTTTAGGTAAACACTGCTGTGTAATTGTACTGATTACAAAGCCATTCCTTACCTCCTTTACGGTCCCTTCCGGGTATCTGGCCAGCTTGCAGCAAACCCTTGAGCCTCTCTACTTCAGCCAGTGTTGTGGCATTAGCAATGGCATTCTTAAAGGCAAAGATCCAAGATCACTTATTGCAAATATACAATTCTACACAAGGAGGCACTCCACAAATTCCATAAGCATGTCTTATAACAGCGCTAATGAGAGTGATCTTTAAATAAAACAGCACATTGAATTAAATGCCAGCTAAAGAGTGGCATTCAGTACATGTTACGTTTCACATGTTCAAATGAATGCCTTGTATTACCGACACCCAACCACTAATCTTTAGGATGCATTGCCTGGCCTTTTGAAAACTGAACATCCAGTGAAAAGCACCACAGTTGCAAAACTTCGCATAATCTATATTTTTCATTTGCTATGGAAAGTTAGACAGCATCATTAACACATAAAACAGGAGACCAGATTTCAGTTGAGTATCAGGAAAACCTCCTAACTGTTATAGCAGTATGGCAATGTAAGCAATTATCTTGGTAGGCGGTGAGAGTTCCAGCGCTGGAGGCATTCAAGGGAAAACTGGACAACCCTCTGTCAGATCTGCTTTGATTTGGATTCCTGCCTTGAACAGGGGGTTGGACTCTATGGCCTTACAGGCCCCTTCCAACCTCATTGTTCTACGATTCTATGATTTTATGAACACAAAGGCAGAGAGGTATATTTTAAGCTAACTGTGCTTAGAGACAAAAATAACTTCTGACATTTTGTAAGTTGGTTATAAACAAGTGCTTTTACGTAAAATATCTTGGACATCTGTCCCAAACCAGATTTTCTTAATGTCATTCTTCCACTTAAACCTGTGGTTCCCAACCTTGGTTGCCCAGCTGTTCTTGGACTACAAGTCCCAGCAGCTATTGGTGAACCCTTCTGAGAATGTTAGTCAAGAAAACACTTGGAGACCCATGGTTGGGAACCACTGATTTAAGGGTATTAAAACATTACCTTGATAGCCTCCACATCTCCTGGCGATGGACCAGCCTTCTTTTTGTCAGCTGGCAAACCAGCACCTGGGTTGAAACTGCAAAAGGAAAAGTGCATCGATGAATACAAATAATTTGTCTCCTGCTTCTCCAGCATCCAAAGAGAAGTCTCTGGAAGCACTGATTTCAATCAAGTGTAGTATCTTATCTTTGTTAACAAACTGATACAATGAGGTCAGAGCTCCTTCAGAAACACCAGCAGGATAGCTTTCCCACACCCTTCCTTTCATATTCTCCAAGCAAAATGCAAACTATGCACATAATTTAAGTGGCTAGCTTGGTGCTGAACAGTTAGGATTCACATAGAATTTGGTCAAGGAAAACAACACTGGGCTTTTATTTTCCCAATGACTGCAAAACTGTTTTTTTTTTTTCAAAAGCAAGGTGTAATTTAGAAACCAGGCAACTTGGTGCCAGTTATGGGCTTCTATTCACAGAGAATTCAATCAGGTGAGCTGTTCAATTGTCAAAGAGTTGCAACAGGCTGTGGTGTGGTGTTTCTGAAAGGGACTGCCCGTGTAAAGGGGTTATCCGTATCTTACGTTTTTGCTCTCCTGGCAATATCCTTTGCAAGCTGTGCACCCCGCTTGCCCTTGAACATTTTCTCTGCCTCCTGACGCTCCTACAGCGATACCACACACACACACAAAGTTAATAAATCAGCAGGAACAAATACATGGCACAAAGCTTTTCCCCCAAAAGGAAGTGATGCAGCGAGCAGCAATTTGACAAAACGAGTATGTTGACATCAAGATGAAGCCTGTGAACTTGGGCCTAAGAAACATACAATTCATCCCATAAAATATCTGTTTATTGCTCATACAACGTGGCAAGAGATCCCATTGAGACTTCCCCATTTGCATAGTATTCCCTGTGGCTATTAGTTCCCTTTTGAAAACACTAAACGCCTCTTTAGTTTCAGTTAACAACACATGAACATATCAAATGTGCAACTACATTCAACTTTAGTCTGTTATGATCAGCTTTGCTTGTCTAGTCCTAGACATCTCAGATACTAAGAAAAATCTTCAGAGATATTAATGCAAATAAACTGTCCACACAGCAATATAAATTCAGCAAGGCTCCCGCATTTTAAAAAAGTAGGGGGTAGATTTTCATTCCAGCTGACACATACTCGTTGGTCATGCACTTAAAACATAATCTAGAATTAACTTGCTAAGTCACAATTGCATTCAAATGTATAGTATGACAATTATGTCACATGGCAGCCAAAAAGAGGTATAGAGATCCCAGTCAGATAAAATGAGATAATAGTATTTATAGCCTAATTCTGAGGAGATATATACATCACAAACTATGAGAGACTTACTTTTAACTTCACTTTTTGGAAATCCAGCACTCTGACTTGTGGAACCTTGTAGATCACATACAACCTATAATGTTTCTTATTTGTCACCGGATTCCTCAAAATACTGAAGGGAAAGATGGAGAATGAGGTTTACATAGCTCCAGTACAGGTATGATAGAAGAGGAACATGCATCCTTTTGCTAAATATCTTTCCCACAATCTTCCAAATCTTTAAGCACTATGTAGGCACCCCCCCGAAAAAAAGGCTAACTAAAAAATGTGATCAGAAGTTATACCCTCTGACACCCGTCTGTTTGCTTTCTCAAGAGAGAAATAAGCTTCTGTTACATGCAGTATTTCCACATGCCTGGAGATACTGAAAAAGTCAGGGCTCCCACTTCACATGTCCTCTCCAGACGATCTTTCTTTAGCCAGCAACAAGCAGGACCCCTTTCAAATTAAGTATCTGCCCTTCCCTCTCCAAATTAATCCTTTCAAATTCACTTTTCTTGGAATCCCTAAAGAGGGCTTTGGGTTGCTACCATTTACTAATGCTGAACTGTGTATTCTTTAAAAGCAAAAAATAAAAACAAAAAGTGCATCCATAGTCCTGCCAATTAGTTAACTATGACTTGGCCTACTAGCTACTCTAAAAATATTAGAGGATTACAAAATGGGGAACTTGGATAATTCCAAGAGAATGAAAAACCCAAAGAGAAAAATGGCATATCCCATTTCTTTGTACAATGACTAAGAGCTTTGCATTACCCTGCCCATTGCCAAAGAACCATCTCCAAATTTAGCTGAAGTTTATTCAATAAATGCCTACTTTTTGATCCAGAATTTAATCCATACCTAGCTTTGCTGTTTAGGGATGTCAATGCTTAGGCAGACCTTAATATAGCAAAACACGGATACGTTAAATGACCCCGTCTACCAAAGAAAACATGGCCTGCTATACGCACTACACATTTTTTTCAATTTTATGGAGACAACTCAGTCTCATGTTAAAATGTCTTGCTACATTGTTTTCATAAGTGTTAGTTACTTTTAACTATGGTAACAATGTTGCCTTATATGAAGAAATTTTGTATCAAAAACACTGTTTTAAAAATAGTGAAAGTGTTCCTTAACTATCTCACATACTCTCTTACAGCCAAGACTGGTGGCTGGCTGCAACATGACTCTTGACTGTTCCACTTCAGTATGCAGCTGGGGGCTTGTAAAAATGAATGTTTCAGCCTATCTTTAAAATGTCTTGTTATATTGTTTTCATAAGTGTTAGTTACTTTTAACTATGGTAACAATGTTGCCTTATATGAAGACATTTTGTATCAAAAACACTGTTTTAACCATGGAAATAGTGAAAGTGTTCCTTAACTATCTCACATACTCTCTTACAGCCAAGACTGGTGGCTGGCTGCAATATGACTCTCGACTCTTCCACTTCGGTATGCAGCTGGGGGCTTGTAAAAATGAATGTCTCTTTGCTATCTTGTTTCCTATATCCTGCTCCTATACGTTTCCACGAAGGCACATAAAATCATGTGAAATCCCACCTGCAATCTGAAGAAAAGCAGCTCAGGCCACATACTGTGGCTTCCTGCCACATTTGTTTCATAGGTGCTGAAGTTTGGCCAAAAGTCTCATGAAATTTTAGAAAACGTTCAATACCTCTGAAGTCTTACTTTATCTGTAGTGGGCATACTGTTATGAAAAGAAAAAGCTGATGTATACAGTGCAGTTATTATTGAGTGCATTTTTAGCACTGCCTTCCCACACCTCTCTGCAATTACCAGACCTAGACATTTTTGGCAAAATCAAATACTTTCCCGACTTGAGTGAATCCTTGAAACCTTCAAATAAAAAGTCTTCCAGTTTACATTGTGTTAGTTTTGAACTGCAGGACAGACTTTTCAAAGACACAATTATCAGAAACAAAGGTCTCATACCTCAGGTAAGTCAATGACTTGATAGTTGCCAAAGGATCCAGATCTCCCTGAATAAGACAAGCACAAGGACCATTAGTTTGTACTTTACAAAGTAACTCCAAGCACAATCAACTACACTACAGAATGAGCATTTAGTGTAAACCCCACAACATAAGAACATTCAAGCTTAGTAACTACGCTTTGAAACTAAATTAAGATATTAATACATCTTGCTGCTGCACATTGTTAAGCCAAGATGATTAATTCACAAGTGTCTGAATTCTGAAAGCACGTTATAGCATCTAGTATAAGAGGTTCTCTTATTTGCAGGCTCATATTCTATTCTAGGGTTTCTTCTCAAATGGTTTTTCATACACCACCATGCAGATCTTCCACAAGCCGGTCATAAAGCCCCACTTCGTAGGTGGATATTGTTTCCTATGACAGGAAATAGCTTATCTCCACCTATGCGCACCCACAGACACACAGGTACTCATCCTGTACACACAAAGGGAAGCCTACCATTTTTCTACAAGGAATGACAACAAGAGTGTCAACACTATTCTAGGATCTCCAAACTGTAATTGCCTGCAACCATCTTCCATGTAAACCTGCAAACATCACTAAAAGCCCCTAACAAAATGAACATTTCCATATGCCTCTCCTTCTGCAGATGTGCAAAGGAACTGGTGATGACTACAAGCAAGCCATTTGTGAGTGTCCAAACGAGAGGCCCTCCCCACCAGGGATATGCATGAGAAGAAATGGCAAGCTGAACAAATATTAATGGGAACAAGGTCGAAAAGACTGTTTATTCAAAAGAAGAGTTAAATATATTTTTATTTTTGATGTATCTGCACACTGAAGACACCTGCCAAGTAGTCAGTATATAAACAGTTTTAATAGATATATAAACATAAATGGCTGTGAGACAGCAAATGATGAATGCCCCATTTTGGCACTCAAGATGCAATAAAATTGGCCACCTCAGCCACTTTTCTTTTTCACCAACCACTTCAGAATGCTGTGCGTATAAAAATCTCTTAGCAACAGAGAGCATTTCCTACCTAACAGAGAATCAGCTATTTTAGCTCAATTTATGATTTGCTAGTCAAAACAGCATATACAGGCCTTAATGATATGGAATTCCAAAGTCCATATCAATTTATCATGGCATGAATTTTCAGGAACTACAACCCATCACATATACAAGATACTATCCAGTATTTCAAATATCTATGACAGGAGATGTAGCTGGGGGTGGAACTACAGACAGAAAGGTCCGAGGAAAGTTACAACTGTCATTTAATGTTAAAAGAACTTGACATGCACCACAAGTTCCTTATACTGAGCAACACATGACTGGGACAAAGTGAGCAGATTTGACTTCTAGGTCTTCCTAGTGATTATACAGTACACATGGCATTCAACGACTTTAATTTCTTTTATGTCACTTACCAACTCCATTATGCTATTGTTAGTGAGGACAAGTTCCTTGAGATGTGGCAAAGACTGCTCAAGGCCTTCACCGATTCGGCTAAAATGGAAAAATGAAGCAAGGAGATTAATTCAACTCAGAGAAGACTAATATTCCCATGCTCTTTGCCAAATAAGCTTGGTCTGAAGCTCGCTTCATGGCATAAGGCGAAGAGAGCACCAAAAACTGCCCCCAAGGGCAAGAATGTCCAAAGAAACTCTAGACTTCAAAAATGTCTCTAGAAACGCACTCACCTTAATCTGTTATTATTCATCAGCAACGTTTTCAGCCTTCTCAGCAAAGGAAATCCATCTAACTTTCGGATTTCGTTGTCAGAGAAATCAATAGCATCGAACTGGTCCAAGGTGGCACCCAGGTTTTCTATCACAGGGATTTTATATCCTGGGAAAGAAACATGAGACAACAGAAAATGAGCCAGAGCAATACAAAAAAGGAAATATACTTCAGGATATACACCTGGCAACATCTAATTCTTCATCTCTCTATCTCTCTAAAAACCTTTATTGGCATTATAAAATACAAGTGAGTGCACAGCGTAGTTACATTCCAGTTCCAGGTAGAGGGGGAAGCAGGCTAGGGATTATGGTAGGTTAGGTTCGAGAAAGTTTATGGGGATATGGGGAGGGGGGAGGTCTTTGTAACAATGAGGAGGAATTCGGCCACTTGATTGGTAATAGAAGTCGAGAAATCACTCAGTAGTATGGGGAAAGGGTCAGGGAAAGAGAGGGAGAGGGAGGAGAGAAGTGGTCCTAGCAGTCGCTTGTGAGGGGCTAATTCTTCATCACACTCATTGTCATCACAGTCCTTATTCGTCCCCCTGCTAAGTAGGTCTGAGTGGACTGTGGACAGGCAGACCTCATAGCAGACCTTGGGATCTCTTTGTTAAACCAAATAACAGAATGACCTGGACATAAAGGAATTCTCCACACCACCTGCCACATTTGTTGATTTCGCTATGAGAAGATGGCAACTTACATGGCCTTTAAAATAACAAGGTCACAGGGGTGGGGTGGAATAAAAATCAACAATTTTTTTTTTAAAAAATCAAATTGATTTAAATTGTTAAAAAAATTCCAAGAAACTGGAGAAACGATAACCAATTCAGTTTAGAGGAATGGTACAGAGAATCATGGGATATGGCAATTAAGGATAAACTGACATGTAATATGAAAATAAGAAGAGGCCAATTTAAAAAATAAATATGATTTCAAGAAAATATGGAGTGTATTCTTGGAATATTTCAGAGAGAGAAAAGGGTATACACTGAGGGAAGAAATTATGAATATTAGGAGAGAAAATGGATTGAATAAAGTTTAATGATAGCCCTGAAGGTGATGGTGGCACTATGTGATATGCAATTGTATTTTATTGTGTGGTGTGTGTTTTTCTGTGCGCTAGTAGGTTTATGTTGTGTGTTTTAATTAAAAAATTTGAAAAAAAGAAAAAAATTGTTAAAATTCCATCTCTAAAATTTTAAATGTGATTCAAAACAGAGAAGATAAATAAAATGAAGAAAAAATTATAATTACATAAATAAGAAACAAAATGAAATGAAATATACGAGGACGAGCCCCTCCCCCCTCCCTCCCTTCCTTCTTCCCTCAGGGACGCGCGCGCGACCCTCGCCGGCCACCGTCGCCCGCGCCTCTCAACTCGAGCCCGCTCGGGCCTGCGGAGGCGAAGCCCCTCCCCCAGGCCAGGGTCTCACCGCGCAGGTCCAACTCCCGGTCCCGCACGGCGTTGGTATACTGCGCCGCCTGCTCGATCAGCTCCGCCGTCAACTTCACCATCTTCCCACCCTCGACTCGACCTCGCCGCTGGAGGGTCTCGGTTTTTTTAAAGGGCGCATGCGCGTGCGTCTCCACGGCTGCGCAGCCCGAAGCATCGAGAGCGGCAGAGAGGCCGGAGCCGAGCGCCGAGCTATCGAGCGGGCGCGGGGAGCCCCCCCGGCCCCGTTGCCATGGCGACGCACTTTCCTTAAAAGGGTGCGGGTCGGGGCAAAGGGGGAAAAAAAAAGGAGAAATAAGATATAAAGAAGGCTAAAAGGATTTGCTATTTAAGGACTAAGCCTTATATTTGGACGCGAGGTTGGAAGTGGACTTTGAGCTACGAAAGCGCCCATCAAAATATAGCGCTTAGGTTTTAAGCCGCCACAACGTTTTTGTCTTCTTTATTTATTTTTCCCCCCTTTTTGGGGGTTCCCCCCCCCTAAGGAGGCTTTGTGGCCCGCCTCTTTTAAAAGCTGGAAGTCCCGCTCCAGCGGTACGCCAGAATAACTCCGAAGATGCTCCCTTTTAACATCACCTTTTGCAAATCCAGAATGAAATACAATAGAAAATAAAGTGCAATTCAGGAGCAGATGCGTGGGTGGCAAAAACAAAGATTAAAAATAAACACTGAAGAAGCTGCAAAAGGAGCAAAAAAAAAAAAAAAAGCTTCTGGGATTCCCCAGATCATCATCAGGTGTTGCAAAAGGCTGTAGGTGGAAAGGAGATAAGACTGGAAAAGACCCTCCCCCCAAAAAGGGGGAAAATCCGGTTTACTGTATGTCCTTATCCAGTCTTTTTAGTTGTGATGGAGTGGAAGAATCAGCAACAGATATCCACGTGTGACTAGCTTGTGTTAAGCTGCAACAACTATAGAAATAAACATCTATAATGGAAACGTGCATAAAACATGTTTTATGTAGATAATGCACGCACGCACGCACGCACGCACGCACACACACACACACACACACAGAGTATAGCCACCACATAAACTGATGGGAAGAAGCCCCCTGAATTCAGTGACACTTCCAAGTAAACACGCCGAACCAAATTATCCAGACATCCAGTTTAAGGCATATAAATAAAATGATTGCATTGAAATTAGATTTGTTAGCTGCTTTATTTGGTGGAACATAAACAGGTCTTGTGCTGTTTCTAATGGTTTGCTTCCCCTAAACACATTATATGATTAGCAATTAAGGATATTAAATGGCGTAGTAACACAGATTAAAGCCTCTTCTTATTTATGAAGATTAGGGAGATCTTCAACCATGCTCACCCCCTTCGCTCACGATGCTTCAGCTGCTTTATTGCGGACTAAAAATTGCACTGATAATTTTATATCCTCTTGTTTTGAGCTTGCCAAAGGAAATGTGAGATGCTTGTTGCAATAGTACATTTGTTAATTATAATAATATGATAATTACAATAATTATGTTTTCCTTCATTTTGAGATTATGATGCTAGAAATATCTTCAGAATCATGATTTATCTGACATAAATCATCCAAAACCTTCTGTAACAAAAATATTTCACCGAAGACCACATGGTGGCATCTTCTCATCAAACAACTTTACTCTGATTTCCTAGTCTGTTGCAAGCTGCCTTTTTAATAAGTAATACTTAATTTTACAAGAGTGTAGATACAGGTTACAAATAGCTGCTGAACAGCACAGTTTCTGGAGCCGGCCTTTGCTGATACATTATAAGTTAATGGCGGAAATTCAATGGCAAGTCACAATTTGAGTAGGCTCATTGAATCAGTGAGTATTTGGTGAGTCAAGCCCTCTGTAAGCGACTTACTAGTGAAATTCGCCCGTCAAACCAACGTGCCACACTAAACCGTAGACATTTGCTGTTTTTTCCCCCCACATCCACTGAATTTTCTGGGTTCCAGTCAAACAACCATATCCTACAAATTCATATAAAAGGAAATCCTGTAAGCGACTTACTAGTGAAATTCGCCCATCAAACACTAAACCGTAGACATTTGATTTTTTTTCCACATCCACTGAATTCTCTGGGTTCCAGTCAAACAACCAGATCCTAGAAATGCATATAAAAGGAAATTAATAGGTTTCTAGGATTAATATACTCGTTGTATGTAAGGTATTTGATGAACTGACACATTGCAGAGAAATAAGGTTCATTTCCAAAAACAAAGTCTTCCAAGGATATCTACTTTCTTACACCCAGCACTACTGATGGTCTTCCCCTTCTTTGAAGCCCTTTGGAATTAAGTAATTCTTGCCATGGACGCCCATCCCTGTAATTCCATGCATAAAATTCTGGATCACATCGCAATAGCTGTTCCATGCTTCTGGCTCATATACAGAGGCAAGGTATGCCATTAGCTGTTTCACCATCCTAACGATAAACACCTTATCCCAGTGTTGTATCTGTGGAACTCCATCAGGGAGTGGTGGTTTTCCATACTGCAAACCCCTGATAGAGAGAAATGGGCTTTGCTTTGCAGCATTTTTGAAGTCTTAAAAGATTACTCATGAAAAGTTTAGCGGGTGGCTGTTGGGTGTGTTTTTGCTGTGACCAACCAGGTCCCTTCGTTCTATTGCGACCAGATCCTGATCCTTAATTTTTCCATTTGTTTCCAGTGCTGCTTCAGCTGCAATGGGAAGCCAACAGGGAATATCTCTCAGTTTGTAAGCACAGTGAGAAAAGATACAACAGAAAACATGATATGAAAAAGACCTGTAGCGAAATTCAATAGGCTACAACGGAGAAATAAGATCATCTGGATTCCCTCACTTTCACTGCTGCTGGCCCCTACACTCCTACGTTGCAGTCCTAAACACTCCATTATGTGGGAGTAAGTAAGTCCCATTCACCTCAGTGGGGGACGCTTTTCGGTAGACATGTACAGGCTGGCATGGACAGGTACTCAATACATCCTTTGGAACGTGAGTGCTATTTTCCTCTTCTCCACTAACCACAATTAGGTTTGGCATCAGGCATTAACTCCTGCAATTAAACGCAGTGTCCATTAACATATTTGCCCCTGCGGTATTTGCTCAGAGTACACTGCCATTTTCACCATCTCTCCTCTTGTTTGCAGAGATTAAGGGAATGAACATCTGGACATGTTGATGACAGGATGTGACATTAGTGTGTAATTACAGCTCTGAGTCACACAAGGAATGAGCATCTAAATCACAGACCTACACATTCACTTTCCTTCTATGAGGCTTTGGTGGCCATGCTTTGTGTGTGTGCGTGTGCGTGTGCGTGCGCGTGCGTGTTTCTTGCAATTATTTGGAGACTGGCATTTTGTGTGATGGTGTCCACTTTGCAGATTACCTTTCTCTCAGAAATTCAGCATGTTCAGACCTTCTGGAATCCTGGGCGTATGCTGAAAACACACCTGTTTTTGCAAGATTTCTCTATACAATCCAGCCTATCTTCCATTTCCTGGACAGAGCAAATGCTGCGGTTTACGTGTATTGTCTTTCTTCACACTGTTGTTGCAAACTGCTTTGAAATCTCCAACTCCAAGTGGTCAATAACAATTATCAGATTAATAAATAATCAGTCAACCAGGGAAGCCCCACATTTGACATAAGAGCTTATGTGTCCCACAGTTTTGAGTTCCTTCTGGGCTCAAATCCCAATTCAAGACCAAGGGTTGGACTTGATGGCTTTATAGGCCTCTGTGCTACAAGGTCAGAAAACCTGCAGTCGTAAGATCAAATCCACGTGACGGAGTGAGCCCCCATCGCTCGTCCCAGCTCCTGCCAACCTATGGTGGGAAGGTAATGGCGTTCCGTGTCTAGTCGTGCTGGCCACGTGACCATGGAAGATTGTCTTGGGACAAAACGCTGGCTCTGTGGCTTGGAAACGGGGATGAGCACCGTGCCCTAGGGTCGGACATGACTGGACAAATTGTCAAAGGGAACCTTTACCTTTACCTTACTTTCCAACTTCATGATCCTATGATTCTAGGACCCAAATGAATAACTTCTGTTGAGGTGATTATTTTACCTCTTGTTATTTTGGGGAGAAATCCTTTTCCAGCGATCATTAAAGTAAAAGGGATCTTTGCACAGAGATACCCAAGGAGACACACAGAACAATGTGGTGTATTCCCCACCTTCCAAGACATGCCTTGAGATGCTTTAGCTCTTCAGATGTTTTGCATTAGAAGTTACGAAAATCTCTACCATGAAGTCAAACTGGCTGGTGCTTAGGGAGTCGAAATCACAAATATCTAGAAGGTCACAGTTTGAAAATATTGCTTTTGAATGTCAGATCACGGAATAGAAAAACAACAACAATCGATGGCTTGATTCTGTTTGACTATGCTGGCGTGACTATGCTGGCATATCACAAAGTCCTGGCTGGATGAAATGATAATAGGAATAGAGTTAATCCCCTCTTACAGCAGAGGTAAGGAACCCTTGGCCATCCAAATATCTTATCCCATAATTTCTTCACTTGCCAAAACTGCTAAAGAGAAGGCCTTCAAATGGCCTGAACTAGGTGGCCTTCAGGGCTCCATCAAGCTCTAAAATTCGCTGTGTCTATAACCTACTTTGGAGGCTTCGTTACTTGCATAATGAGGAGGCGCAGGATGATGCTTACTGACCCTCATCCCACCTGTTGGAGTGCCAGTGTTCAGCTCTAGCAGACTCCATGCTGACCACAATTCCCAGAATGCTGTGCAGTCAGGTTTGAATGGTGTGATACAGAACACCCAATTCCAACCTATGTGTGAGATGTAAAACAAGTCTTCTTCAAGTGGATGCCATCTGGTTGGGGCACCTCCTTGGGGATGATGGAGGTTTTAATCCAAAACAGCTAAAGGGCACCACGTTAAGGATGGCTGCTTTCAATTTATGTTTCTTAAACCCATATTTTTGGAAAAGCTATTTTAAAAACAACTGACTTTTTAAAAAAACAAAATCAGGGCTGCATTGAACTGTGTTGTCAAGCAGTGCTGTATAATGAATAAACTTAGATGAATCTCATGCCTGGATATATTTTTTTAATTTTTATTTTTTGCACGCACAACCCAAAGATAAATATAGTTTTGTAAGTTACATAGGGCCCCATTTTCTAAAAGACTGCACAGAAGT